ATAGTGTTCATTGATGATATTCTGGTTTATTCGAAGAGTAGAAAGGAACATGCTCAGCATCTGACTCAAGTCTTATAGGTCCTCAGGAAAAAGAAACTATATGCAAAATTGAATAAATATGGGTTTTAACTTGAGTAAACTTCCTTCATGGGACATATAATATCAAAAGATGGAGTGTCAGTGAATCTTGAGAAGATTGATGCAGAGATGGACTGGAAATAGTTGACTTCAGTCAAAAAAGTTTGAAGCTTTTTGGGTATGACAGGTTACTACCGCAGGTTTGTAGAAGGATTTTCAAGTATAACTGCCCTCCTAACATAACTTATGAAGAAAAATGTCAAATTTGAGTGAAATAAAAAATGTGAAAGAAGCTTTACAGAACTTAAGGAACGATTGACTACTACGCCAGTTTTGGCTATGCCGAATGGAATAAGTGGATATACAGTATATAATGATGCGTCTTACCGAGGACTTGGTTGCATTATGATGCAGCACGGGAATGTCATATCTTATGGGTCCAGACAGTTGAAAACTCATAGAAAGAATTACCCCACCTATGACTTGAAACTTGCTTTCATTATCCACACCTTGAAAACTTGATATCGTTACTTATATGAGAAAATATTTGAAATTTATACAGACTATAAGAGTTTAAATCATATATTTACCTAGAAAAATCTCAACATGTGTCAGAGGCATTGGATAGAGTTTCTCAAGGATTATAATTGTAAGATCTTGTATCACTCAGGTAAGGGTAATGTGGTAGTCGACACTCTCAGTAGGAAGAATGCAGATATATTAGCTTACATAATGGTTTTTGAGTGCAGAGTGATTAAGGTTATACAACAGATACAACTCCAAGATTTAAAAAAAGCCACATGTCTGATCCACTTAGCAGTCCAACTTGAATTAATCCAGAGAATAAATGAGGCTCAACTAACTGATCTCACTCTAGTAGCTCTTAGAAAGGATACATAACATAGTTTAAACACAGGATTTCGAGTCTCTACCGATGAGTTACTTAAGTTTCAAGATTGGTTTTATGTCCTCAATGATAACAAACTGAAAAATAATATCATGATAGAGGCTCAAAGTTCAAGGTTTACCATGAATCCGAAAAGTATTAAAATGTACCAAAGCATGCGGCTCTGATTATGGTAGAACGAGATGAAAAGAAAAATTGTCGATTTCGTCTCAAAGTGTCTTGTATGTCAATAGATTAAGGCAGGACATCAATGCTCAGGTGGATTACTTCAACCATTATCAATTCCGGAGTGAAAATAGAAATATATCACTATGGACTTTATAACAGGGTTGCTTAGGGCACGCTTGGGGTATGACGCAATCTGGGTGATTGTTGACTGACTCAATAAGTCTTCTCATTTCTTAGCGATCAGAATGACTGATCCCTTAAACAAACTAACTAGAATCTATATTTAAGAGATATTGAGGCTACATGGAGTTTC